AATGATAAACTTTTCGGTGGTAAACGAAATGTGATACGTGGCGTTACAGCATGATTTTATAATGGCAATGGTTTTTATGTGACATACTGATTTGCACATATAACATTAGTAGTTTTGATAAAACCTACTCAACTCTCTATAGTTAATGTAATGATGGATGTTAAATCACCCTTTGAGATTCAGTGAGGCCGAACAAAGACAAGTTGCTACGTTGTAAAGCGCTAAAATTATGACTAAGCTTTATTTCACTTATCCATCTTTTGTATTAGGTCGTTTTGGAACACTTTCATTACCCCCCCCCCCAAAAAAAAAAGACGTACATCACGTATCATAGTTAAACAAACCGCCTAAACGTCACGTTAGTGTAGCCTATATAATGTATAAAGTTTAGTATACTCTAATTACTTATAGTGATGGCACACGACGAGACACACACATTCGGAATGTAATGCTGTTTGAATACAAGAAGGGAAACAACGCCTCTGTAGCCACAAGGAATATCAAAAAAGTTTATGGAAATGTTTTGAACGTTCGTAAGTGTCAACGATGGTTCAGCAAATTTCGTTCAGGTGACTTTAGCCTTAAAATCTGTGATGGCAGGGGCCGACATATTGGAATTGATATTGCTGCTCTGGAGACGCTTGTTAAGTCTAACCCAAGGCAACACACTCGTGAAATGGCCCTGAAATTGCACGTCTCTCATGAAACAATACATAAACATCTAAGTAATGTGTGAAAACTACATAAAGAAGGTGTTTGGGTGCCTCACGAACGAACTCTCCGATGATCATCGTATGAACCTTGCTTCGTCTTTTCTGGCGCGTAATGCTCGTGAACCATTTTGGACAGAATTGTTACTGGTGATGAAAAATTATTCTCTATGCGAATATTAAACGCCAAAAACAATAGCTCAGTCCTAGACAAAAACCACTTCCGAACCCAAAACATGAACTACATCTGCAGAATGTGATGCTTTGCATTTGGTGGAACATCAAAGGAGTAATTCATTTCGAACTTTTCAATCCAGAGCGAACTGTCAATGCAGAGATCTATAGTCAGCAACTGGAACATTTAAATCAAGCCCTTCATCAGAAACGCCCTTCACTCGTTAATCGGAAAAGTGTTCTTCTTCTCCACGACAATGCACGTCCACATGTGGCAAGTTTGACGAAACAATATTATGGAGTTGAGTTGGGAAGTTCTCTCCCACTCACCATATTCTCTTGATATGGCATCATCAGATTACC